TGAATCACCGAAGCAGCGGCTCTGCTGTCTTCCTCAGGGCTGAGTCCCTGATGCTGCTCCAGAGAGGCCCGGTGCCGTGTGGAGGAAGAGGGGAGAGAGTTTCTTGAATGAGTCTCATTAGCGAGAGTGCTGCCTCATCATGCTGCACAGCGCGAGTGTGTGGACACAGGCGATGCTGCACTTTAATTGCAGAGGGCTGGATGGGCTGCTGACAGGATAATTGCGCCCTGCTGCTGTCAGCGCTGAGAGATTTTCAGGCGTGGCACCTCGTAAAACAAGAGGAGGTTAACTGGGGAGCCTTCAAACCAGCTGCACCTGCTGGGACGCCAGGGCTTTTACTGGACCCTTGTTTGCACTTGTGATTCCCTTCCTTAGACACCTATGGGACACGCGGAAGCTTTGAAGGATTTGTTATAGCAAATCGCTGGAATGCACTGCACACACAGAAAAACACGTGCATTTGAAGGGACAGTAAATGAGATAAAAATACAGTGTGCGGTAAAACTCCAAGGCAGTCAGAGACACAAGGAGACGCCCAGCATGCAGGGGAGCTGCAGTAAGGGGAGGCTGGAGACACAGCTGTCCTCCTGAGGCTGTGCTGTACTGAGCTACTGGGAGGGTGCAGGCTGTCTGCAAGGAGGAGGGGCAGCAGGGGCAGGGCTGACAGTGCATTGAGAGGGCAATTAATTACCCCTTCAAAGCCTCCCTGTCAAGAGTGGCGGTGTGGAACAGTGTGAGCTCAGCGCCGAAATGAGAAACAGACCCTTCTGTGATGGGGCCTCGGGCTGCTGCACAGTGCCTCCTCACCCTGCGAGCAACATCTGTTTCTGTGCACAGGGTGAATGTGGAGCCCCTTCCTCCAGCTGACTGGGAGCTATTGTAAACCGCCCCCCCCCTCTGCTGGCCCTGGCCTGGGGAGGAAACCTCCAGACTCTCGGAAGACGTGTTCTCTTTTCCAGGGCAGCATGTGCAGGCGGCACCAGTCGCATCCGACGCTCTAGCAATACTGTATGAATCCCAGCCCTGCGAACCCGCAGACACCCAAAAACGCCGCATCCAGCTGGCAGGTGGAGGGACCTGTGCTAAGCCAGCCTGTCTGGCAGCGATGGGTCAGCACGCATGGCAGGTGGGAAGGAAGCTTCACGAACGGACAAATCCTGACCATCCCGAGCCTGCTGGTGTTGGGGAGAATCTGCATGGAAAAGTCCGGGGCAGGCAGGCGCAGAGAGCCTCACGCCGGGACTGTCCGGAGCTCTAGGCAGGAGGGAGGCAGGAAGACGGAGTCACATGGAGCACGTGTTCCCCGAAGTCCGCCAGCGCTGTTTCTAGGAACTCGGAGCGGCGCGCTGAGAGCAGCGTCCCCCAGACCCTCGCGCCCGGGCGAGAGTTATTTCTAGCCGCTCGGGCCCCGTGCGCGGTGAGGCCTGTCCATATAGGGCAGGTTTCTGGCCGAGCCGACTTGCAGCTGATGTGCTCAGTTAGCGGCAGCCTGACGCCTCCCCCAGCGTCAGCACTCTGCCCGGCCGGCCGCAGCTGGACAGGGGTCAGCGCGTTCCGCCGCAGAAGACTCGGCCAGCAGCGGCTCCGGAGATAGCGCAGGACAATAACTAGTGCGTACACCACACGTCCAGATGTCTCATGGATTTCATTTGTGCGCATACAACACAACCTCATTAAGGATCAGAGAAACGTGTCTCCTTATTATGTTCTATCACTACAGAGAACTGGAGGCACTTCTCTACACAGAGTCTGGAAAAGCCACTCAGTCACGTTGTGGAAGCTGATTTACCAACACTTGTCACTCTGATCAATTGGTTGCTAAAAACCAAACAAGCCAGAGCCCCTCCTCTTCTTTTCACACATTCTTCTGATTTTGTATCAGTGGATGATCTGGAGCAGAGACTGAATGCACTCTAATGGCTTTGGCTTGTGTGGAAATCTGCTGACTCACCCCACAGGTCAATGATCTCAAGTAAAAGTGCATGACTCAGCACTTTAAACTGACTGCAAATGCTTCATCCCAAGAGCTGCTGGACACTTGAATAGTTGGGCTTAGGGCACTATTGTGCACTCTGTGACAACACTGCCTGGTGTGAGGGGATTCAGTATAAACACTTCAACCTCAGGCTGCAGCTGAAGGAGACACACTTACTGAATCCTAGGTTAAACACTTTGGAAACATAAAGATGTCCCCAAATTGACAGTAATTAATGTGTCTCTTAAATGTCTTAAAAGCTTATACTTTTGATCTGCAATACACTAGACTATATTCTGAGAAGTTCCAAACAGCATTTTTTTTCTTTTTCTTAGTTCTTTTGATGGCAATTTCCTATCTTTAACGTTTGCTGTTTGTCTTCCATTCCTCTTCCTGATCCAAGCATGACTGAGCCATAACTGGGAGTTTGGAAGGAGAGGACTCATTCAATCAGGGGGTGTTTCTGGAAACTGGGTCACCGACAATATCTGAAATAACCAGGGAAGTGATGATTCATTTTAAAATCATCCTGGTGCCCGGTGTCTACTGGGTGAGAGACAGCTCCAGCTCATCCTGTGAGGGTTATTGAAAGTTGCTGGAGGGATGTAAGTGAACATTCCTTTAGCCCAGTAGAAGGTCCTGTCTCGGAGGAAAGTGCGCTCTGGGATCCTGGGCTGACCTGACCTGATCCGGACCTCTCTGGCTCAGCGTGGTAAGAGCAGGGTACAGAGCGCTGAGGCTGCGGTGAAGCAGAAGACGTGGGAGACACTAGCGCTCCACAGCGCTGGCCTGGGAACACCAAGGGGACGCTCATGAGACTGACCGCCGCGCGGATTCCACCCGGGGAGCCTCACAGGGCGCGAGGCCATGTGACTCTTTCATGAGTGATTTCTGATTGTGCCGTACGGGCAAGAGAAACAGGGGGGCGTCTGTCTGGTGTGACTCCGAGCCCCGTGACCCCCGCATGGGCGTGACGACTGTGGCCGCCCCACCCTGCAGCCCGCCCTCGTCTCACGCGCAATACACAGCTCAATAAGCCATTTGTCCTGCTCTGGTGTCCAGTCGAAGAGCTGAATGTCATCTTTTAATGACACAGCATTCCTTCGATACCTCCCCAGGCCTCGGGCGCAGTCGCAGTGCCCTTCCTCTCTTCAGGAGAGCCCCCTCCGCCACGCTGCCCTGCCCACCTGGGGCTGCGCTTGCTGACGTTTTCCTTCGGCACGGGGGGGGTGCACTTGGCTGGCGGGAGGCGAGCTGAGAGAAGGCCCAATCGCTTTGAGCCCCTCGGTCAAGAGCAACACTCACCACAGCCCTGAACAGAGCTGGCCGCTGGACAGAGGGAAAAAAGACCTCTGGGGTCACCGCCCAGTTCAACCAAATGAAGACAATCAGGCAGCCCAGCAAAAAGTGTGATGCTTCAGACCGACACTAGAGTCTCTGGAGGCTCCATCCGAAGAGCTTGTACAGCTTAGCAGGACATGCTTCTAAACACACCAGATATTGCATGTAAACGTACTTCAATTAGAGTATGTATTCTACAGTATGCAGAGTGGATCGAGTAGATCGAGTGGATCGACGTCATTTACTGGACTCACTGTCTTGAACAGTCTCCTTTGACACTCAGCCGGGTCAGTGAGGCTCACTGCAGCCCACCAGCCCAGTGCTTGCGGTTCTGTCTGCTCTGGCAGCGCAGTCGCCCTTCCCTCCTCTGGAGCTGGGGGCGCACATACCCCCATCTTCACACGCACTGCCTGACATCTTCTTCTCCCCGAGCAGCGCGGAGACCACAGCCCGGCAGAGATCCCACCGGTCCTGCCTCCTGAGGGAGAAAAGGGCAAAATGAGAAGCAGTCACGTGAGAACCCGACCACCCACTCCCAGTCATCGGAATGAAGTCTCGTGGCCAGGACAGTGTTTCCTTCTCAGCCTGTGCACTTCCACGCTTCAGCTCAGGGGGAGAATCCTCTACTCTGACCACTAAAAATAGTTTTCCCATTTCCTACGTGTACAAATTCCTCCACAGCTATTGTACCGCAGTCACTCTGCTGGTATTTTAACGAGTGCCAGTTCAACAAAGAACCAAAATCATGCCAGAATTTCTTGTTTTTTCCCCAGGATAATTGTGAGCACCTTTGAACCTCGATTCTTTGTTTCCAGCCTGCTCTCTTGCAGTGATTCACTGGACTACACCACGTCCTGTCGGGAGAATTCATGATTTGGCAGATTAAGGAGATGGTCTCCGTTTTGGCCACAATTAAAAACATCCGGGAATTATTTTGTGTGTGTGTGTGTGATCTGAAACAGGATGCAGGAGTGCTTTTTCCAGCCAGAGTACAAGAAAGCAGGAAGAGAAACTGCAACTATGTGCTCCTGTTGCCTCCCAGAGGACAGAACAGCTTCTTTCCATTTTATTCAGAACAGTACTTCTTACTGAAACCAGGACTCTTTGTGGTTTTCTTCACTCTTTGTGGTCTTCTTCACTCATCCTGCAAAATGTAGAAGCACAGAGAGAAAAATGCAGTCATGTCAGACATCATAAATTAACATTTTTAAATTTTTCATTACAAAAAATATCTGGCAAGAAAGAAACTGTTTCTAGAAAGGCTTCATCAGTTATACCATCCCCCCTAGTGGCAAACCCAGGGAACCTAAAATGTGTGTTTATGATCAAATGTTTTTCTTTAAATTGACAGAGCCCGTTTTTCACACCAACAATATCCCCAACAATATTGTTCTTTCAGGCCTTTTATGAAACCTCATCTTTTGAAAGACAAAATTGAACCGCTCCTGCAATCCAGTGTTTAATTTTAACCGATGGGTTAGTTTGCAGTCCTGCTTTTAATGTCAATCATAGGTGTTTTACACATTAATAATAATAATAAACTTTATTTTATATAGCACCTTTAAAGGTGGCCTCTCAAAGCGCTTTACAGGATGACAACAACAATAAATAAGAAGACTACACAAGATAAAATACAATTACAGTATACAGAGGAGACCATGGATGGTGGTACTAAGAACAGCAGAGGGGTGAAGAATGGAACCAGTTCAGTAAAGACTTTTCTGAAGAAGAGGGTTTTGAGTCTGGATTTGAAGGCTCTGTGAACAAGCCTCTGAAACCAGCATGCCCCTGCTCTGATTGGGTTTATCCTCGCTGCAGCTCAAGGTAACTCAGCAAGATAAAAGATGAAGGGTAATCTTGTATTTCTTTTTGAAGTCACGCGATCCTGTGGGTCTTGAGTGTTTAGACTCGGAGGAAAGCGTGCTCTCGGATCCTGCGCTCTCCTCAGTCCGTGCTGACCTGTCCTGATCCAGGCCTCCTCACCCCCACAGCTGCAGTGTGTGGCTCTAACAGTGAAACACATGTTTTTAAAACAGCTCCTTGATTAAGAATATGAATTGTAAAACACATCTCTAGTGAGTAGGTACTCTGTATTTCTTTGAGGACTGGAAATAATAGAAAAAACACATCTTTAGATTTTTTTTTTTATTATTTGAGAAAACACATTGTTAATGGTTGAAAAAATAAATACATCTCTTGCGCGCCCTCCAGCACCCAGCCGACACAGGACCAGGCTCAGGGCTGGCGAGGCAGGATCACGGGACACAGCTTCACAGAGCCTCTCCGCTGTTTGGAGAGGGGTGGTCCCCCCCATGCAGTGCCAGCCCTGAGCCACCTTTCCTACACCTCACTCACGGCTGAAAGCTCCTTCACTCCAGTACAGAGCTCCAGGTGCTCTTAATGTGCATGTTTCATTACCCTGGACTTTTTCGAGATGTCTCCATATCATTCTTCACTGGGCTGCTGCTTGTTAATCAATTTACTGACCCAGTTCTGTCTCTTCCTAGCTGACCATGCCTTGAGAAACACAGCCCTACCCACCTCCAGCAGGCTCTGAGCGCCTTCACTGAAGTTCACGGCTCTACGGCCTGGGGAAAGATTACTGAGGTGTGAGACACAGGAAAATGGAAACTGGAGGAAATGACCGGAAAGCAAATAAATACAGCTCTGTGGACAAATGGCACAATTGTCAAATCCACCTTGCTGATCTTACCGCAGTAAAGTCCAGACCTGAGGTGGTGAGGTTTAAACTCTGAACACAGAGGATTCTGGGAATAAAAACCTGAAAAGGATAGTGTTCACGGTGCACGCCCCTGGGGGGGGGGGAGGATTCATGGAGAGACGCTCCATCTCCGCACAAAAAAAACCCTGGGAATTCGAGGCAATCCCCTCAGTTCCCAAACACCCAGCCAGCACACAGAGGGAAAGACTCACGTCCATCTAGAATCAGCTGGCTGACCCAGCAGCATCCCTGCTCCTTCCCACACACAGGGCAGCAGCAGCTTTCTTTCCATTCAAAACAGAATGAAAGCATGAAAAAAAAGACAGGCTTGCTCCGCCCGGAGGTACTCAGCTCATTCCCCGTTACCCGAAAACCATACAGAAACAATAGCACAAACAGTCAAGTTACGAGCAAATTAAACAAAAGAAAAACGTGTCGCACAGCAGATTTCTCATGTCCAGGTCAGTCCGAAGAATGAACACGATCCGCCATTCTTCCTATCTTTTACCGGTTTGGACAACTCAGACACAGACGTCAGTCTCGCCTCAAGGTTCATACAAGGGGTCTGCCCTGAACCCGCGGCCCTGGCTCCTGCTCTGCAGAGGGGGGCGCCAGCGAGGGAGGGCGAGAGGGGACAGTGGTAGTGGTAGGGATGAGTGTGTAGTCCGTCCCCCGCGCTCAGGTGGGGTCAGGGTAGCGGGTGCGAGTGCTGTACCCCCTTTCACTCACGGCCCGCTGAACCCCGGGGGGGAAGCTAGGAGGCCTTCCCCAGCTCGACCTTCTTCTGGATGGCCCGTGCCGAGTGGTATATCAACGAGTCGATCAGCCCGGCCACTGCAACACAGAGCGCAGCACAACCGTCAGGGCTAGCACAGCAAGGGCACACCCCCCCTCGCCGAAACCCCAAAGAAACAGAACATTACAACCGAGTACAACTTTCCCTTTGTGTGGAAGAGTGCGAGAGCTGCCGCTCCAAATCCAGGATTTGCACACGATGTGGAAATCTGTCGAGATCTAAACACCCTGTCTTGTGGATCGCTTATCTTTCTTTATGGTAAGAAAGCTCTCACCTTCCAGAAGCCCAGAGGAAACAAAACGTTTGCTGCGTTATGTCAAATCAGGTCATCACATTTCAGTGAAAAGATATCAGCATCCCCTCGATTGTTTCCGAGGTCCCCGTTCTTGGAGGATAACCTGTTCTGGAGAGAAGAGGCTGATGGGACTCCTACCTGTGAAGACTCCCCCGATGATGGCACAGACCCCCGTCAGGAAGTGAGTGAAGGACCTGTGAGCGCAGAGAGAGGAGGGTGCTTCATTACACACTGTCCCCTGCCCACGCTGCATTTCAAAAGCTATGTCCGTGTCAACATGGCATAGTCGCACCCGGCAGTGTACAGAGCAGAAATAAGAGTAGTATGAGGGGTACTTGGACTGTGTCTTTTTTAAGGGAAGGCGGATCTAAGCTTCCTGTTACAAGACAGTACGGACAGTCGGGCAGAAACAGACTCAGAATCTGACCTCGGCTCTAGCAGACGCATCCTGGTGGCACTGTGCGTTCGGACCTACATTCCACCGAGTCTGCACGGCGGCACAGTCTCTTGGTTAGAAACTCAAAGTGCTCTAGACCAACAACCCCAGCAGCAATGGGGCTCTGCCTGCAGGTGATTGAAACAAGGCGGGGGGGATGTGTGGCATACCTCTGCTTCTCCGTGAACTTCACCATCATGGGCGAGAGCTCGTACAGCACGAACACGCCCGGGAGGCCCTGGTCACCGATCAGCCCGTTGGCCACCTTCTCGTGCCGCGTCACCGAGAACTGGTTCGTCTTCACCACCTGCGCGGACACACGGGCACGCTCAGGGGGCGGTTCCCAGCACGCAAGGAAGGGGGCGCAGCCGGAGACCCCCTTTCCCTGGCGCCGGTGCATCAGAGGATAGGGGGCGCTCCTGACTGCAAACACCCATCCACTTCCTAACTGCACTGTCCAAATCAGGGTCGCAGGGGAGCCGAAGCCTATCCCAGCATGCACCAGGCACCAGGCAGGTCCATCACAGGGCACGCGCACAGACGCGCACAACCTCCCACCAGGGCCAACTTGCCCAGAAGTCCAATAACCTACTAGTGTGTCTTTGCACTTTGGGAGGAGACCGGAGTGCCCGGAGGAAAGCCACGCGAACAAGGGGAGAACATGGAAACTCCACGCAAAGGGTACTCCAGGTCTGGAATTGAGCCCAGGGCCTCAGTGCTGAGAGGCAGCAATGCTGACCACTGCGCTACTGTGCCACCCCGGCAAAAACATGGTATCGTTTCTTTCAGTTAAGGTTCGACGCGAATACAGTTTTCAGCGCGGGGAGGTGAACAACAGCTGCACCAGTTTTTGTTCGTCAGCCTCGAAAGGGGAAGAGGCCCCTGCGGGCGCAAGGGAAGCAGAAGGCAGTCAGCTCTTATCTTTCACCATGGTTGTCATTTTGATCTTCCTATGAATCAAGCCATTTGCTCAATGGGAAGTTAATTTAATCACATCACTGAACTAATAACCGAACATGAATTTGGCATTCAACAGCTTATTTAATAACCTGCAATTAAATAAAAGTCAAACTCTTCACTGGTTTGATATTCTTATTGAAATCATATATTGGCACACAGTGTACACATGGCTTGAGCGGCTGTCTACAGCCAAGCACTGTGGTGTGGACTTCAGAGTGCCCTCAGCAGTGTGCGTCTCCCTGGGGAACACAATTCACAGTAGAGTCCTCCCACAGTCCTCTTCAACTCACCTCACCATCTCCTTTCACATAGATAGTGGGGACGATCTTCACGAAGTACTGGTACATCATAGACGCTGAAATGACATGAAGAGCATTGTTTTTCTGCAGTCAGGCCTGCGTTTTAATAATACAGCAGGACAGTTGTTCTCAGTCCTGGCCCTTGTTAATACCGGCCTTTTCTTGTTTTTGCTGCAGTTAAATTCATAATCCCGAGCAAATCTAATCAAATTTTCTATTTGAGGCCTGTTTCTAGAGAGTTTCAGGACAGCCTGCAGAAAGGGTTGCTGGCTTGCAAACTGAAACTTAATCCAGTGGTGAGAAGCAGAAGGAAAAACCTGGCCACTGTGAGGCAGTGGTTAACAGTGTCTAACATGTCTATTCTTCAATTAATCACCCTTTAAGGGCTGTCTCGGCAGAAATAAGGGAGCAAATTCTTAATCAGCAAGTTGAGGAGAGGCCACATAAAGTGTTAAGGGGGTTGTAAATAATACAGGTAAACCTGAGTATTTAGAAACCAAGGCCTGGGTATAGAAAGAAGTCTAAGCAAGCAGATGAGTTACAGGCACCAGTAAGCACTGGTGATTAATTGCAGGTAGAAAAAAATCAATCTGAAAAAGGGGCACTTAAGGACCACTGCCTTATGTCTGATATTTTGAGTGGCGAATGTATAAAAACACAAATTATATTTTGTAAGATAGCCCCTAAAGAATCAAATACCCTTGACAGTACGATAGCAAGGATCTATAGCAGTATTCCTGAAGATCCCATAGCGCTATATAAGTGTAAGCAATTATTATTATTATTATCCTTCGGGTTTTCCGAGTTTAGTCACTGACTAAAAACACCAGGTTATGAGTCACTGATTGATTCCGTTCAGAATAAAGCTGTGAAGCCGCCAGGCTGCCCGGAACACCACGCTAGGGGGCGCTATCACCCTTAGCGAGAGGCTTTCACATCACGTGTCATCACATCATCAGGCCTCTACTTCCTGTCGCGTCTAGGAAACATGGAATCCTGCTGATAGGCTGGTCGGAGCGAGAGAAGAAATAAGTTAAAAAAAAAAAAAGACCTGCTTTTAACACGAGCAGGGGACGCAGAGCTATTTGGAATTTTTTAAGAACAAACGGTAAGGCGCTTTTATATCGGTGGAAACTATATCTAGTACTGTGATACCATCTACGTGTGAATGTGTACGTGTGTTCAAGGCCAGGGCGAGGTGACATTGCTGGCACCGCGCTGTACAAGCCGTTTGTAAAGAAATGGCCAAACCCAGCTCCGACAATAACCCGCTGTGCTTTTCGAAAGAAAACTGGCCACCGTTTGCGTGACAAATCTCGCTTCTCTGCCGCTTAAATTTATCTTTTTCGCATACCCCAAGCTTCGTGCCTGTGCGGTCTCATGGAGAGCAAGCTGGGGTAGGCGAAAAGACAAATTCCTAATACGATAAACTGTATATGGCCAATAAAGTGATCTTAAATGACCAAACTGCGTTTAAGTCGTACGTGTTGGTGCATTACGTAGAGCTGCTCCTCTGCAGACTGAGTCATCTGTTACAGCTGGTATAAATCTTTATAAGCCAGCCTCCTAACCTCATTATCACCGCATGTGACTCCTGCCTGGGTGTGAAGTTAGTTTATAGCGGCCGGAAGTCTCCCGAGTGTTCGCGTGTGAGCTCGGACACGCCAGGCGGAGCTGCTGGGAGGTGCGCCCCGTGATTCCATCTGTCCCGTTTCTGATCCCGCCCAGATGCCGGTAGCTGTTGGACCGTACGGGCAGTCACAGCCCAACTGCTTCGACAGGGTGAAGATGGGCTTCATGATGGGCTTCGCTGTAGGAATGGCCGCCGGAGCAATGTTCGGCACCTTCTCCTGTCTCAGGTAGGGCATCCTGGCCCAGCTCTCGGCCCCACTGCACCAGTGGACAGCACGAGAGCCGCGCCATGTTTTCACAGCAGGGAGCACCCATGAAACTCGAGATCTCTGGCGTGAGCTCAGTGCTCCCACTGGACTCGCACCCTTTAGTAGAGACTTCTTGGCGTTGGGGTGTGGGGTTAAAAAGAAAGCTGTGACATTGACACGGTTTTCTCGCTTTCTGCAGGATAGGGATGAGAGGGAGAGAGCTCATGGGAGGAGTGGGCAAGACCATGTTACAGAGTGGAGGGACTTTCGGCACTTTCATGGCTATTGGAATGGGCATCCGCTGCTGAACCCCTCCCCCTCCCCGGGTACACCACTGTCCGATTTAGGAATCCCGTGTTCTGTCTTCTCTGTAAATAATTTTGAATAAAAAAGGCAAATAAAAGTTCCACTAATAAATGGTGTCTGAGTGCTTTATGGAAAATGCTGCGTCACTGAAGGTCTGAAAACGAATTCTGACTTGTGCGTTTCTTTCACAGGGATTCATTTGAACCTTGACTGATCTTGCAACAGTGAAGAACTTGTAGGGTGTGGACACAGAATTGTTTACCTTGAACATGAACAACACCTAAAATAAAACCCTAAAACGGCACATTCATTCCCCCCCAAAAAAATCTGAAATGTTTTTTTTTTGTTTCATTTTCAGTGTGGAATTAACCTTTTCTTGTACAGTGCAGCCCCTCACCTCAAACATATGAATGTGAAATAAAATTGCTGGATCTCGAGATTTAAAAAGCGTGACCAGAGCTAACCTTGTGGGGCTTCAACATCGGTCCCGTCCAGGGGGTTCACGAGGCCAGGGTAGTCCTTTCCAAAGGAGAGGTGCTTGATGTGGTGAGTCATGTTTATCTGCAGGAAAGGAGGAGAGATGCAAGTTAAATGTTTTAATTCTTCGACAGTTACAGATGAGGGGAAAAAAAATCAACCCCAGGAGAGGGGGGGAGTTACTTACATTGTCAAGTCCGAAGCTCTGTAGGTCATGAACTGTAAAGGCAAAAGTAAGTGTTAAAGAAAAAAAAACAGACTATCTTACAGATATCTAAAAGAGGCATGCACAGTACCTCACAAAGTACTAAAGATCTGGTCTTGTAAGAAGGGGGGTATGTTTGTGTACATGATGAATGGCTTTGCATTTTCTGGCTTTCACTACGTGCTCTGAAACAGAAGCTGCAGGCAGTGTAGTCGATACAACAGGAGTTCTGTGGGCTGCTGATTTACGTTTGTTAAGAATACTGAAGAAATCTGGCATAGAGGTGGCACTTCGACACACGAAGGTTATTTGCAAAGGAAAAATTGAAAGCAACAATTAAAAAGAAAAAGCTCTGAAGAATGCCTTATTCCCAGTTAAGTAACAGGGTAAGTGCTGACCAGTGCATTGATCCGCTGGTCTGTATTCATGAGGTTTAAGAATTAGAGACTTAAATAGAGAACGCCCTGGCAGTAAAGGGCAGATTATTAATCTAACTGGTATGTTTTACTTTTTTTACTTCACAGAACAAACTGCTTCATTGGTTCGGTCTGACCTTGTGCAGGTGCAGTGTTAAGAGAAGAAAAACAAAACAAGGATCAACTTACTTTCCACAGCGTGCACTGTAGAAAGAAGAAGAAAAAAAAAGTCACTACATGATGTGATCACCTAAGGGGCAGACGGGACTCCAGCTCTGCAGCAGTGGGAGCCACCCCAGGGTTTACAGTCAGCTGCCGTACAGCAGACCCTGAGGCAGAAAGAGCCCAGTAAATCCAGGAGTGGCTGCCTGTATCTACAGGGGTGATGCTGGGGTCCCGGGCCCTATCCCTGCATCTAACGAGCAAACTAGTACCCAGGTCTGCCACAGTGCTTGATTTCAGGACAGCCAAGCAGCAGCTGGAAGAGGCACGGCCCTCCCTCGCTGCTGTGACATGCACTAGAGACCATACTGGGAAATGTGACGAGAACAGAGCTGAGCAGGCAAGCCTGCTGCTTGTGTCAAGGCAGGTGAACTCGTGTCAACATGAATTAGCCCTTACTGGGGCACCTGTCCTAGGCCTCGTCTACCATGTTACTTAATCTTGACAAGAGTTAGGAGAGACTCAAGTTTGCGTTTTTGGGGGCGTATTTGCAGCACACCTGTAATGGAAAATACAATCACATAGTCTGTTCATATCCTAAATGGATTTGCGTTTGCTGAAGGGGGTGGTAGCAGTAGCTTTTAGGTCCAGACAGCAAGGCAACTGCTGGCGGAGTTGAGCCACTTGCAGTAAAGAACAGGTTGCTGCAAACAGCAGATCTCAGCAGGGGTTAATCAGCCACGGATCAACAATAGCACTGGTACTTCTGAAGTCATTACAGCATTGCTGCTACTGTAAGCTGGTAAATGTGTGTGAAGTTCAACAATATTAACTATTGGGTGCTTGTAACTTACAAACCTGACTGTCTACAAACTGCCCAAAGAACATGAGGATACAGAATGCCAATTCTGAACCAGCAGTTGTGTTATTTCTGTACTAGAAATGAACACAGTTGGCCTAACGGATTGTTAATGACTCCCAAGTACCAATTGAGGAAAAATGTTTTATCAGGTTATAAGCCAAGAACAAAGCAATCACTGTACATCTGCGTACAGGTAGAGAGTTAGTGCCAACTGCCAAACAAGGCAATTCCAAGAGGTAAAATCAGGAAAACAAATAGCAAAGAAAAAGATAGCAGGCTTTTCATTAAGGTCTAGCTTTCAGAAAGAACAGAAAAAACAAAAGATTGCAACAGACTGGCAACAAAGCCAGCAGGCACTTGGGGAGAAAGGTCATGCTCTGTAAAGACGGGGGGATAGCCCTCTGTCCTCGCTGCTTGGAAATGGGAAAACTTGCACTTTGAGGAACAGAGCACCAGACGCGCTCAAACACGGCATTCCCCTTGTGTTTGTGCGGGAGCAGAGTCCAGGGAGTGGGGTCATGGACTTACCAGGCCAGGCTGCGACCCAGTCAGCCCAGGCTGCATGCAGGACAGCCGGGAGCAGGCACAAGGGTCCTGTACGCTCCCCGGATCTAGGATTCGATTCCTCTCGGATTGCAGCCGGACAATGTTATTGACCGAGTTGGGATACGCGTCTCCACCGCGGATAGCTGTTAAGTGCTCTTCCTGCTTTCTTTCCATCTTTTAGCATAAGGATACAAATCTGCTGCTACATTTCCCAGTTTTGACAAGCTGGGCCTCTGATGGTTACAAGAACACCCCCTGTCAAGCCTCTCTACAGCACAGCACTTTAACCCACTGCAGGACGCAGTAAATCTACCGTCCACCAGTTACTGGAAGGGATGTTTATCTGCACAGGGTGCGACTTTGCCACCTGCACTTATTGCTGGATTGCAGGGGAGGTTGGGTGGACCCCAGAAAACTGCAGTGAGAAAGGGGCACTGGCAGCCCTGGCACGGACTCGCTCTGCCCCTCTGCGGGGAGCCCCGACGTGGTGCAGGCCAGTCTTACCGTGCACGTGGGACTGCTGGAAACTCTTGCCAGGAGCGAAGTGAAAGTTGCCGGCCACCTGCAGAGATCGGATGACAAAAGCAGAAGATCAGGAAGGGCAAGAAACTGTTTTGGAAGCCCTCTTGTTACTTCAAAGCGCGTGAAACAGGTCTGGTTTCCCAGGGGTCCTTGTATTGTTACACAGTTCTGCAAGATTCTGTTTCATTGTTAAGCAATTCTGCAAGACTACAAACAGGGGCTATCGATGATATTCACCACCCTTTGACTTTTTCACATTTTACTGTGTTACAATATGGAATCATAATGCATTGAATTTGATTTTTTTTTTTTGATTGATGCAATATACTCTATGATGTCAGGCTGGAACAAGCTACCCAGCAGCAGTTAATTCAAGGGTTTAGTGAGCAGTCTCATCTCAGATACAGAGTGCCACTACTTGGTACCCACTCCTGCGTATACAGTCTGCGCTGGCAGAGAGCAGTCACCTTGTTGACTTCCAGGAAACCGTACACCTGGCAGCCCTCATTCTTCTGCTCCTGCATCTTCTGGCTGAAGCCCTCCCTCTTGCACTGCTCGATCGTGTCGGGGTTCTTAAACGCCCAGCCCCTCCTCCTGTAGGCCTCCCGCACATCGTCGCAGCTGTTACAGCACCTGAGCGAACCGACAGGGAGTCAGACACTGCAGGTCAGCTCCACGGCCTGACTTGACAGAAAGGGTGTCACCTTTCATACGTCAGCTCGATTCAGGGTCTGACACAAGGGGAATGACTGGACATAAATACACGTCTTAATAAGAGGAGGCCTTTTGGCCCATCAAGCTTGGTTTGCTTGCTACTAGTTGAGCGATCCGAGGATCTTGTCCACCTCGGGAGATTTTGAGTACTTGAATCAAATCCCCTTATTGTCCTCTCTATTCCAGACTAGTTTCTGTTGCCCATCAATGCAGGACATTCCTTTCAGTCTGGTTTGTTATCTGGTTGCTCTTCTATGGATTGAGATCCAAAAAAAGCAAGCAGATGCCATGATGGGGTAATCAAAATCATGCATTACATATCTTAATGAGGTTTACTGCAACTGCAGGTAGCAGTGGTAGCATGTGGTACTACTATAACTCAGCATCCCATCCAAAAGTATATTTCCCATTCAGCTGGGCAACCACGTAATCCAACCTTTTCAGCACATTTTATCTTTTTTTTTTTTAACTCCTGTAAACCTTTTTTATGTTCTGAAGACACACTACAAGCCGGATTTCTCATTCTTTCCCTCATCTCCCGATCTGTGGCTGCAGTGCCCCCTGTTGTCCGGGTCCCTGCAGGGCAGCACTCACTTCAGGTCTTCAGTCTCGGCTCCGTAACAGCTCTCGCAGCGATCGGGGTCCAGCTTGCTGGGGTCAAACGCCCCCCCCTCCTCCTTTCCGAGTTCTGGGAAACGGGAAGGCCAGAGAGGGGTCCTGAAAGCACTAAATAACTATAGAAGGACATCTCACTGCTTAACTGTGTGCTTGAATTTTTTTTAAAAGAAGGCAGAAAAAAACTGCACAAACCCACAGCCCATTTTCTCCCTCCTCAAGAGTGCTGTAAGCAGGACAGTGTCTGCACCTTAGGAAGACCAGTGATATCGGCGAAGGGGTTTCAAAAAGCAGATATCAGCCCAGAACCCCCTTCCCTGCTCATCTTCCAGGCTGCTCAGCTCTCTGCCAGTTTGCCCCTTGTGAGATGCCCCTGTACCAACCACTGACTTTACCCCTCTGCCTCACACACGCCCCAGTACTGACCGTGCCTCTCCGCCTCCGGGGTGACTGGTCGGCCCTCCTTGTCCAGCCGCTGCTTGAACAGGTTGTGCTCCACGTCCAGCTGCTGCTCGCCCGCGACGTCCATGGCGTCGATGCTCAGGTCTGAAGGAGGAAGCACGTTCAGAAACAGCTTTGCAAGCTCATGCAACCTCAGACTCGGCAGGAGTCAGAAACCCCAGCAGCGTCTCTACCGGGCCGTGAACCAGTTCGCACATCATTGCTGGCTCGGTGACCTCAAGCTCAGCCCGACACCCTGCAGCCAGCGGGTCTGCAGACTCACACCAGGCAGCTTTTTTAAAATACAAAACCTATATACTGTACTGCCTCCCTTTTCCAGCGGGTGTTTAAACTGCTGGCAATAGGGAATCACTCAGTGTTCTGAAAAACATTTGAAGTGATTTACTAACAGGCACAGGGCATGTGGGGGAAGATCACGTCAACGTTGATTTTCAGTTTGTCTCCTCGCGTCGTGTCCACATACAACTCTGGATGCACCTGGAAAAACACACAGGTGGGATACAGCATTAGGAGCCACCTTCACACAATACAGAGCAGCAGCCAGGAGTTCCACAGGGACCTCAGGACTCGGTAATTCCACTGGGAGTTTACTGTACGCCTCAAAAGACATCACAGAAGCTTGGGAGCTCCAAGGCTTTAGCCATTTTTAGCTGAACAGAAAACATCCTACTTACAATTTAATTCCATAACATTCTAGAAAAAAAAGCCTCTTCCATAACAAGGACAATATTCTAGCAATTCAGTTTTAGAAACTGGCCTTAGTTTATATATTCTTCTGAAAATGCCTAAGCAGATTGTCAAAATAATGTTTGAATAAATTAAGTAAATTTACACACACAGCAAGTAATAAAAATGTAATCAAATCTCCACAGTCACATGTTAAAATATGAGATTTTATTACTTCCAGCAAAGTAGTTGCTCAGTGTACGCAGACGATGTTCACAGTATCGCAGAAAGCATTTTCACCCACAACATTGCATCTGTAACATGGCTTTCGTTTCCTGAATTGATTAAACTGATCTGGACCAGAGACTGTTCCCCAGAACCAGGCACGTTAACCCCAGTGAACATTCCCTTTCCTCCAAGCTCACTGAGCCCCTGAAGTCCAGGTGTTATTTTACCTGCATACAGAAATACTTCTGTCGACACCAGACCAGACCACGCTACGGTAGCAGGAGCTACAATCTCTCTGCTTAGAGCCACCGAGACAGAACAGGCACGAACCCACCTCCTTGGTCAGGTAGTACTGGAGCTCGGAGAAGAACAGGATCAACATGATCAGCCCGCTGATGATGGTAACTGCGAAGGCAAAAAGACGCAGAGAGAGGCAGCGCATTACAGCGTTATCACCACCTCACGGTGTCAACTAACGGACAGCAGCGCCTCCCACACAGGTGTACCCCCTGGGTTAAGGAAACTAACCTGAATAGAACTGTTGAAGACAATTCACATTACAAAGCACGGCGGCTCTTCTCAGTGCAGGGACACTACAAACCTGCCCTAGTGTGCATGACCTTTGCGTTAACTGCTCGCTGCAGCTGGAGAGACAGAAACGGACACAACACATCCCCGGTGACTCACCTGTTGCTCCGCCGCATGTTTTAATCCTGAAATCCTCGAGGGTTTTAGGATAAGCGTCAAACTGCTTCAGTTTATGCAGCGCCTCCATCATTCAACCCTACCAACGCAACCCGGAAACATCGCAGGCTCAAAGGCACCACACTTCCGGGATGATCGTTGACGTTGCACGTTTTGATTGGCTCAGTCACAGACCCCGCCCTCCCTCCACGCTATTAGTGCATCCTGGGAGTTGACGTTCATTGGGCTCGTAGGGAACGTGTTCTTCCCAGAAGCGCGATACTACGGTGGCCCAGAAGTGCAAAACACAACAAAACGGAGTACGGGTCAGTACCGATGATAGGCACATACACATATTGGAGCATACTGTCCATACAAATAAGCATTAGTCGACGGGATAGAGCTTGGTTTGACAGATAATTTTTGTGGAGACGGGGGCCTGAAAGAGTTCGCCAATGACTAAACTCGTGCTCATGCATTTATTTATTTTTTAACCGATTTTCATGTTTTTATTTAGTTTTCCACCCCCATCTTCTCTTTTTTTGGGGGTCGGGGCGTTATTTCCCTCCAAATGTGAGACGCACGCCCCAAAATATTGCAATATTTTCCGCACCATCAGAAGAATACGGTTTACAAACTGGGCAGACGTCTGTTGCTTATGTAAAGCCAGTTTGTAAAAATCGGATCTAAAATGGTCTTTTTGTAACATTTAATCGACGTTGATCTTTTTCATTATTTTCTCATTCACGTTTTTAGCTCTGCTCAAATAAGCTCTTTATGTTCAATTATATGAAAATTACATCTGCTACCCCAGAAGACGACTCCATTTTACTGATTTATTTCCATTATAGTTGTACATGCATATTAAATTCCCTAAAAGCACCAAGTAACCTGAGCATGAAACTGAGACCCAACCCATTTACAGCAGTGCAATAATGGCCTAGATAATGGATTTGGGAAGAATAACATTAATTTCAACACAAAATACTGCCCTCCCACATCATCGCTTGGAAATGAGTTGTACTACATTGACAACTAAACATTGATGCTGAGCATTGATATTTTATCGGAGTTAGCAGTGCCTCTACATCAAAAGGCTGACATAGTATAGCACTGGGCTTGAAATTACTAGCCTGTGAACTTGAGCGTGAGGCTCCACTACCTGTTATAGAAGACAGAAACACGTGTTCACTCATTCAAAGGGTCTCTTGCTTGTATTTAAATAGACTGTCGATAAAGCTTAGCAACAGGGTTGCTATACATTTAGATTCAGCCAACGCCAGGAAAGAGACGACTCCAATTTCTATGTAAAAAAAACTCTGCACATTTGCTTTAAGGTTAATTTATTATTCAGACCAGAACATTTAAACATTTACAGAAATGTGCCAGTAAATATCCATGTGTGGAGGCGACAACTCAATGTTTCTAAGCCCACGAACACGAGAGTCACCAATGATGTCGCTTCCCATAATCCAGGAGCCTAAAGGCAAAGAATGCAAAAACACATAATACCAAGGATTTAAAGTTTCTCTTTCGATTATTTTATTTGATCTTTTTACAGTAAAACAATCTTTAACCAAGTGTTGAGTGTATTTGTCGAGTCCATTATAAAGAAGTTAAGGGTGTGTGGGCAGGTGAACTCCACTGACACCTGAGGCAAGGTAGCCCTAACTTCATCAGTTTTGACGTACTGGCATACGTGACGAAGACTTAAAACAATCTTAGTCCAAACACAGCTGGAGCATCGAGGGAAGGCAGAACGATGGGCACACTCTAATGTTTCGGGGGTCTGTAGGCGATCTTTCTGCTCTTCAGCACAGACCACTTGTGCCTCTTCAGGTAGTAGATCAGGGGAATGAGGACAGCGGAGCCCATGAGCAGCTGGAAAAGGCAAAAAAACAACAACATTTATTCAGAGTACGATTCCAGAGCTGAGTCAATTCGAGATCTTTAACTGAGGTTGAACATCTGCAGTTCTGTGCTGGTGAAATACAGTTTTTGGTGAGCAAGGATCCTGTAGCCTCCTGCTGTTCCCAAAATCTGTACTTCTGCTTAATTCATTGCTGTGCCAAGAGAAGCCCTCTCTGGGATTCCAGGAGCTGGGCACTGAAAGGTGCCATTGAAACAAACTCCAACAGCACTGCAGATCTGAACAAAATCTGTCCTACTATGCCTCCGTGTGGCTATTAAAAATCAACAGTACATTACACATTCATTTCAGATTAGCTGTCAAGATACAGACTGGGTTACTGGATTTAAAATAATATCTTAATGCCAACCTGCTCATATTTCAACTAAGTATGTACATATTAATTTAGGTGGGTAGCTGCGTCAGCATGCGTAGGCTACAAAGGAATGAGTAAAAGGTTTATTCCACGCTGAAAAGAGAAGAAAGCACAACATTTTGGCCATGGAGCCTTCTTCAGGTGTCACACGTCTGACACCTGAAGAAGGCTCCACGGCCAAAATGTGTTTTCTTTCTGCTCTTTTCAGCATTGAATAAACCTATTACTTGCTCATGTACATACTAATACACATGCAGTACATGCACATATATTCAACAATCACACGTTTCTCTGTGGGTCACTGGAGGAAAGTGTGTTGCTACTGGGTCACTGGGCAAGAAAGCGCAGTTCCTGTGGCGCCATCTGGTGGAGGTAAGTGGCCACTCACCTTCAGACCCATACGCTTGCGCTGGTCGTGCTCTGGCTCGGCGGCCCAGCGCAGGAAGGTGCACACATCCTTTGCGACCTGGCTCATAGTGGCTGGAGTCCCTGAGGATGCAAGAGAGGAGAATCAGTTCCTACTGAGACATGTCTGTGATGCTGTGAAAGGCTATCTTTCACAGCATCACGCCAGCAGCCATATCACCCTGCAACTCACAACTGGCAACCCACTGAAGCTCAGCAGGTGTGAGCCTGGACAGTAGCTGGATGTGAGACCTTATGGGAAAAACTAAGGTTGCTGCTGGAAGAGGTGTTAGTAGGGCCAGCAGGGGGCGCTCACCCTGCGGTCCATGTGGGTCCTAATGCCCCAGTATAGTGACGGGGACACTATACTGTAAAAACAGGCGCCGTCCTTCGGATGAGACGTAAAACCGAGATCCTGACTCTCTGTGGTCATTAAAAAATCCCAGGGCGTTTCTTGAAAAGAGTAGGGGTGTTACCTCGGCGTCCTGGCAAAATTTCCCATTGCCCCTTACCAATCATGGCCTCCTAATACTCCCCCTCTATGAATTGGCTTCATTACTCTGCTCTCCTCCCCACTGATAGCTGATGTGTGGTGAGCGCTCTGGCGCACTATGGCTGCCGTCGCATCATCCAGGTGGGGCTGCACACTGGTGGTGGTGGAGGGGAGTCCCCATTACCTGTAAAGCGCTTTGAGTGGAGTCTCCAGAAAAGCACTATACAGTATAAGTGTTAGCAATTATTATTATTATTATCTGGAATCATCCGTCACACACAGCACAAGGGAAAGGGGTTTTCATGCAAATCCCTCAGGCATTTCAGAAAGTGCAGAAGACATTAGCATTCTTTCAATGTAATGATCCCCTTAGCTCTTCTATCGTCCCGTCTAACACTCTATATAAATATAAATGTACAATTGTTGAAAAAATAAAGAAGATGAAGTAAAAGGCCCTCCTTAAAAGATAAAAATAAAAACTTGATAAGAATGAAAAAAGGTTTAGCAGAAAAATAAAAGTGGGAAAAGGTTACAGATAAAAGGCAGCCTTTGGGTCCAACAGTGACGGGCTGCAACACCCAGCACTAACAGCCGATCTCGACAAACGAAACACCAGTCATTAATAAGCAAGCCTCACTCCCGGACAGCACTGTGGCTTACCGTCATCGTACTCCAGGACCTCATTGTAGATTGGGGGAGCCATGGCGACGGCCTGGCCAGGGAAGTAGGGGTTGTAATAGAGCCCTTCTCTCATTGTGACGCCCGCTGGGGGGTCACAGTAACCCGTCAGCAGCGAAAACACATAGTCCTCTCCACCATGCCTGCAGGACAGAGAGGACAGACGGGCAGCAGTCAGTCCAGGGACAGAGAGAGAGGGAGGACAGACGGGCAGCAGTCAGTCCAGGGACAAAGAGAGAGAGAGGAC